GTGTGAACTGCTTCAACATATTTAGTTTACATATTGTATTCAAATATATTCAAAACATTATGTGGAAATTATTTTATTGCACAATTTGTTTATGTTGTCAATAGAATAGCACATACTTTCATTATATTGAACAACAATTACATCTGAAAGAAATCTTTTTATAATTTAAGAAAATTTTCCATATTTCTGTGTGTTTATGCTTTAATGTAACCTTTTCTGACAAATTAGCCCTTTCCATATATTTTCTAGGTATTCCCCTGTGGATCTATCTATGATCTTTTTAGGCCAGAATCCTTCATTTCAATAAGATTTGCTCTTATCTGTGGTTTTACGTATCCACATGAAGCTGAGAACAGTCCAGCCCAGTTTACTGTTTAGGTTATACTCAGCACTTTACAACCCACTCTAGCCCCACAGTCTGCACATATCCATGCCCAACCCTCTAGTCTAGTCATGTCCAATATATTCCTGGTCACTGGTTGCCAAATTGATTTGATATACTGTAATCTTAACGCTGTTTGTATGCTTTACTGTTTTAATTGTGTTATAATTGACAGTTTTAATTATTACATTTTAAACTGTGTTTTTGTTTTTATTGGCAAATGTTGTTGTACATTCTGAGCTTGGTCCTACTTGTAAGCTGCCCCAAGTCCCTTTGTGGAGATGGTGGTGCGGTATAAAAATAAAGTTGTTGTTATTGTTGTTGTTGTTGTTGTTGTTATTTTGCTGTAATATCTTCAGCTTCATCCAAATCAGCCTCTGCACTGCTTATTAGACCCATTTCAAATTGAGAAAAATTATTTCAGTGATACATTCTAGTACAGTATTTCACTAATTGATTGATTGCAGTGCAATAGTCTAGACAACAGTGGGTAAGTGTGCATGTGTGTATGTTGTGGAAACATGTTTCACAGAAATAAATTCTACCCACATCTGTGCTGACACTTTGTGGTTTTGGAAAGCAATTTATTCCAATTTGCTGATTTGAATGCCATCTGGGAAAGGCCACAATTAGGATTTGGATTACTCTGTGCAAAGAGAGAAAAACTTTAACCCTTTCCCCATATTACAGTCCTGATAATCTGCCTATTGCTATCTCCACCACAACCCCAAGAACATACTGTTGTCTTCAAGGAAGAGCATTGGCAGCAGAGGAGGAGGGGCTGTCATTAGGATTGTATTAGATTTGAAAAGACAAAAATCCCCTCATGCTACTTCAAGAAATCGGGTTATACAGTTCTGTTGCTGTGTTTCTCTTAAAATAACACCAAGACAGATTAACATATGAATGTATTTGGATGTGCAGTATTGTGTATTTTGACTTGAGTCTACAGTCAGGTGCACACTTTTCTGGAATCAGCTCCATTGAACACAGTGTGATTTGCTCAACATAGGTAGGATTTGATTGCACAAATTCCTTGCTCTTTAAAGGCAATTTCCTTGCAGATTCTACTCAGACAGAGTTATCTCTCAGATTCCCTCATCACCAAAGATGAGGGAACTCCAAGCTCTCCTCAAGATAGATGAATTACAGCATATTCTGGCATATAAGACTACTTTTTAACCCAAGGAAATCTTTTCAAAAGTCAGGGGTCGTCTTATACGCGGGTGTAGTCTTATGCATGGGAGTCGTCTTAACTCTATATTTTAACTGGAAAAGTTGGGGGTCATCTTATACGCCCAGTCGTCTTATATGTCGGAATATAAGGTAGATCTTTATGATAATAACTAGCTTGTTCAAACCTAATTGTGTAAAATTGTGTTGAAATTTGTCTTACCCTATTGTAGCATAGGTTGAGCATTCCTTATCCAGAATTACAAAATGTGAAATACTTCAAAATCCAAAATCATCTGCCTGAGTTGCTGAGGTAATGACAACCTTGCTTTCCAGCGGGTCAGTGTACACAAACTTTGTTCCTTTCAAACAGTCACTAAAATATTGTATACAATTAGTGTGGGATGCTTAAGGTGTATGTGAAATATAAATAAATTTCATGTTTGAACTTGAGTTTCATCTCTATGATATTTCATTATGTCCGCATTTGAATTTACAGGTATTTCAAAACACTTCTGGTGTCAAGTGATATGGTTAAGGGATATTCAACCTGCCTGAGCACTTTGCATAAGAAAAAATAGGGCAGATAGCAGGGATTTGATATGTGATAACCACATTTCCTCTATAGTCATAACATGATCTGTTATTAAAATTGGGACAGTATGCATTTATATGGGGAAATTTTTGGTTTCCTATTGTTAGGTATCGGAAATATCCATAGTGCTTTACTGGATGTATAGCCCAACTGGAAAAAAAACCTACTTCTTTGACATCTTGAGATCTTTTTAGCCAAAGCAGATGAGAATCAACATGTGATCACCAGACAGAAGCCTCTAGCTGTGCATGTGGTGGGAAAGTCATAAGCTGGCCAGTGTTTTGCACATAAACTCCTGAACTCCCCAGTATCATTGTATGTCACATGAACTCTAGGAAGAGGGAGGTTCCTGGTCCAAACAATTCATGGTTTATGGACAGTTTTTTTTTCATTTCCTCAAATGGCTTTTCTGCTAGATATTTTTTTCATGCCGACATATTTTTTGGAAGTAATCTGTTAAAGCAAACTGTGAAAATCAGCCTTCCTGCTTCAACATACGAATAGATCACTTCTGCTCAACAGTCATCTGAAAGTTCAGATAATCATATTGTTTCCTTACAAATGCTTAGGCCTAGTATTAATTGGGACTGGTTACATTGATCAATCATCTGTCCTGCTCCAAAAACCGAAAGTCTGTTTCTGGACATGATTTAAAGTGCTGGTTGTGACTAATACTAAGTCCAGGCTATCTAATTAGGGGCCCTTCCACACAGCCCTATATCCCAGAATATCAAGGCGTTCCAATTAGTAATTTAGATATTTGTATTAACGAATCATACAAATCTCTGAATTATGAAATGAACCTCTGAAGCTTTGCACAATCTTAAAAGCTAACAAATTGTGTCTACTCAAGGTCACGACACCATTTGGATTTTGACTACAAGTATATTGTTGTTCAGAAAATCCATTTCCCCTCTACTACTGATGGATGGTAAAGGAACGAAGAGTAAATAGCAGAGTTTGAGGAAGTGGTGGAATACAGTGTCGTAGTCCCTGTTAATCAAACATCTTGGGGCGTTGATGGTGTGAGCTCTACTATACCACTGACAATGAACACTTGTAACTCAGACTCATTAACAATAATGACCTACATTAAAAGATGTATGTGTTTAAATAGATTTTAGTGCTAAACCAATGTTTTATTTTCCATACCAATTTTATTTTTATTTTTTTTAAAATATATATATATATAATGCAGATGCTCCTATAAAGTATGCGTTCTTGCTGAATCTTAATGTCTGAAATGTAGTATGAAAGGAGGTAATTATTACCAAGATCTTTAATTAAATCAATATTTGAACTAGCGTAGGATCCATAATAGTTTATTTTGTCTTTTGTTTGATGCAGTACAAATGGGTGCCCCACTTTCCAATACAAAATAGCTGCCCTTGGATGCATCTACACTGTAGAATTAATGCAGTTCAACACCACTAACTGCCATGCCTGAATGTTATGGAAGTCTGGGGTGTATAGTTTGATGAGGTACCAATACTCTTTGGAAGAGAAGGTTAAATGCCTTGTAAATTCATAATTCCATCTCATTGAGCCATGGCAGTTAATGTGGTGTCAAACTGCATTAATTATATAGTGTGGATGCACCTGCAGTTACAGCATAATGTAAATGTTGCTTTAATTGGTTTGTAATTGCCCTGTTGCTGATTATATTCATGGATCATTGAAGTGATCACTGTTGTTACCTTATAGGTTACCTTAAGATAACAATAGTGATTATTTCAGTTAATGGGTTTCTGAATAGGAAGAGGAATAATTTTCTCCACTGACCTGTGCATACAAGTGTAAATGCTATAGCACATTTCTGACTTAGAGATAAAAGGAAAGGGGGAACATCTAGTGGTGGTTGGCTTAAGTAAGTCACTTCAATGAAAGTCTAAAGCAATGTGAGACCCATTTTCTACTCTTTGAAGTTGCTCAAACTTTTGTTACTGCTAAAAATAGTGTAACTCAAGTATGGTGTGTTACGTGATAGTTCTTTTCAGATAATGCTAGCCATCTATGTTTGTTATTACTTTTGCTAGTATTCTGTTTTACTTAATGTAAAAATAATATTTCAACCTTTTGGGGGGAAAATTAGTGGATGTGAGATAGATCCTTTCTCACTATTTTTCCTGATAATCCCACAAATCCTAGTTTACTAGATTTTGTCTTTTTCTTTTTGAAGCTTGTCCCAGGATTAAGTATAAATCAACAATATTACTGGGTTTTACAGTAAGAACATCTAACCACCCAATTATAAATACAGTAGAGCCCTTAGTCCCCCACTGGGTTTGATTCCAGTGCCCCTATGGATACAAGAATCTGTGAATGTTTACATCCCATTATATACATTGGCATGGTAAAATGGCGTTCTTTATATGAAATGGCAAAATCAAGGTTCGCTTTTTGGATTTAAGAAGAATAATCAAGTAATGGATGGTTGAATCCATGGATGCAGAAGGCTAACTGTATGTCCTAGTATCTCAATAATAGCCCCTCCCCAATTTTAACATATGAATAATTTTCCTGCCAAGAAACATCTTTTCATATTGTTTTCATACATAAGTTTTGGCTTTTGTTTTAGTGGATATATGCAAGGTGCATATGAAAACTTGTCTTAGCCAAGAGCACTCATGCTCATGCCAAATGCATCTCGTTCTCATCTACTTATTCTCCCACATGAACAGTCATCAAGCATCAAAAGCCAGCAGGAGAGAGAGTCACAAGATGTGAAGATTTTTTTTTGGAGAGGGGGAAGAACTACAAAAAAGAGTAGAAGATGGGTATGAGAAACCAACATTTATCAAGACATCTGTCTTTTCTATTTCTTCCTCTTCTTGAACCCTTCCTTTACAGCATTCTCTTTGCGGACATAGAAGGCTTCACCAGTCTGGCTTCCCAGTGCACTGCTCAGGAGCTGGTGATGACGCTGAATGAACTCTTTGCCAGATTTGATAAACTTGCAGCTGTAAGTAGGGTTTGCACCCATCTTCCCCACCTCCCGTTAACAATAAGGGGGACTTTAGATTGTGGCTTTGTCCAAATATTCATGACCTTAGAAAGCAGCCACTTGGTATCTTGAAATAAAGGAGGGGGGTATTTTCTCTCTGTTTTACAGGAGAATCATTGTTTACGTATAAAAATCCTTGGTGATTGCTATTACTGTGTATCTGGATTACCTGAAGCAAGAGCAGATCATGCACACTGCTGTGTTGAAATGGGAATGGATATGATAGAGGCCATCTCGTAAGTACCAAATTCTTTGGGGAACATCAGTTAAATACTACCTTCTGTATGTTTGTTCTTGTGCATGCATTTCTACCTAATGTTGCATCTCATAAATCATGGCACACTCCAGCAAAGCACAGTTTCAAGCTGATCAAGAAATGGGGTGGAAGGGGGGAAAGTCTCTTTGTCCCAGAGCAAGGTCCCAGTGCCAGTGGAGGGCCACGTGCCTACCTTAAAGGTAAAGGTAAGGATTTCCTCTTGGAATTAAGTCTAGTTGTGTTCAACTCTGGGGCGTTGTCCGTAGATGCCTCCAAGGTCACATGGCCAGCATAACTGCATGGAGTGCTGTTGCCTTCCCACCGGAGCGATACCTGTTGATCTACTCACATTTGCATGTTTTAGAACTACTAGGTTGGCAGCAGCTGGGGCTAATAGAGGTAGCCGACCTTGCTCCCTGGATTTGAACCGCCGACCTTTCGGTCAGCAAGTTCAGCAGCTCGGTGGTTTAACCCACTGTGTCATCGGAGACTTCTTTTCTGAAGCCAGCTTGCTGTGGGATCAGACATGGGTCTATTTTTTCCATAATTCTATGCAAAATAAGTCTCTCCAGAACTTTGCAGAGGTGGCACAACAGGGAGATTGGTCTGTAGCTTTTTGGGTCATTGGTCTTTGCCTGGCTTCAAGATGGCGATGACTCTTGCTTTCCTCCAGATTTTGGGGATCTGACAGGATGCAGTGCAGTTGTTCATCAGCTCCAGCAGCCAGCACCTTGCTTTTGGACCAAAGTTCTTGATTTATAGACCTGTCAGCAGCCTATGATAGTGTGAACCACCGCCTCCTCCTGAGAAAAATGTATAATATCACAAAGGACTACCACCTCACCCACCTCATAGGAAACCTGCTACAAAACAGGAGCTTTTTTGTTGAGTTCCAGGGCCAGAGAAGCAGATGGCGGAAACAGAAGAACGGCCTGCCTCAGGGGAGCGCGCTTGCTCCATCCATGTTCAACATTTACACAAATGACCAGCCACTGCCAGAAGGGACAGAGAGTTTCATCTATGCTGATGATCGTGCCATCACTGCTCAAGCAGGGAGCTTTGAGATGGTTGAACAGAAGCTTTCCGAAGCTCTAGGTGCTCTTACTGCCTATTACAGGGAAAATCAGCTGATCCCTAATCCATCTAAAACACAGACCATGTGCCTTTCATCTCAAGAACAGAGAAGCATCCCGAGCTCTGAAGATCACCTGGGAAGGAATCCCACTGGAGCATTGCAGCGCACCCAAATACCTGGGAGTCACTCTGGACCGTGCTCTTACCTACAAGAAGCACTGCCTGAACATCAAGCAAAAAGTGGGTGCTAGAAACAATATCATACGAAAGCTGACTGGCACAACCTGGGGATCACAACCAGATACAGTGAAGACATCTGCCCTTGCGCTGTGCTACTCTGCTGCTGCCCAGTGTGGAACACATCTCACCACACTAACAGTGGATGTGGCTCTTAATGAGACATGCCGCATTATCACGGGGTGTCTGCGCCCTACACCACTGGAGAAATTACACTGCTTAGCCGGTATTGCACCACCTGACATCCGCCGGGAAGTAGCAGCCAATAGTGAAAGGACCAAGGCAGAGACATCGCCAGCTCATCCCCTGTTTGGGTATCAGCCAGCACGTCAACGACTTAAATCTAGAAATAGTTTTCTAAGATCTACAGAGACACTCGCTGGAACACCTCAGCAAGCGAGAGTCCAAAAGTGGCAGGCTCAAACCCAGAACCTCAACCAATGGCTGATACCAAATGAGAGACTTCCCCCTGGGCACACAGAGGACTGGGCGACTTGGAAGGCGCTGAACAGACTGCGCTCTGGCACCACGAGATGCAGAGCCAACCTTCAGAAATGGGGCTACAAAGTGGAATCCTCGACATGCGAGTGTGGAGAGGAGCAAACCACTGACCACCTGCTGCAATGTAACCTGAGCCCTGCCACATGCACAATGGAGGACCTTCTTGCAGCAACACCAGAAGCACTCCGAGTGGCCAGATACTGGTCAAGGGACATTTGATCAACTACCAAACTACACAAACTGTATTTTGTCTGTTTGCTTGCTTTGTTCTGTTAGAAATGTAATATAATTTGACTGGTTGTCCTGACACGACAAATAAATAAAAACCGGAGACTCCTATACATGCCTAGCTTATGTTTCTTTTGTACAACCTTCCTTTAGTTAAAATGGAACTCAAATCAGCACAAACAATTTTAAATGGTGCAAATAAAACTGCAAAGGCTGGTCCTATTAAAGCAGACAAATTATAATAGTAATATTAAATTGTAATATTAAAATGAAAATTAACTGAATGCAATTTAATTGAGTTTTTGTTGTTTTGGGTTCATTTGCCTGATACAGAGTCTTTCTATGATTTAAGCATTTGAGAGTTTAGATCATTAAAGTTGGCTGGACTAATTGTACTGGACAAAATTCCAAGAAGGTTAGGACACTTTGAAATCATTGCAATATAAAATCATTTGATTGTCAACTAAGCCTTGTGGATTTAAGTAGGACATTGGGGGCATCCAGTTTTCTCTGACCTGCATTCATTCTTTGATTGTTCCAAGGAAAACAAGCTGGTTCTTTGCTTTTCTTTCAGGAACTTACATTTATACCAAATTGATGCTGAAAGCACAAAGAGCTTCCTAAAAGGTCCAGCAATTATAATGCCTGTCATTCCAGCATTCTGATCTTTATTACCTTCATTCGTCTGAGAAGCTTTCTCTTTTCATCAGAGAAGACGGGGGAGGCAGTGAGAACAGAAAGTCTCTCACTCCAGATTTAGCAAAGAGATACGATGGTTAAATCCTTTTCATCCCACACAAAATGGGAGCCAGGTTTTTGAAAGTTGACAGGGAACAATTTGTAAACAAAAATGGAGTGCACTTCAGCACCAGTATTTGTACTTTGGTATAAAACACAACAGCTCTCTACAGATACCATAGAGCCTCACTCAAATAGCTCGTGGAACTGAAGAAGCCAGAAACATTCATTGTATTATTTCAAGGGCACAATACATAAAATGCCACCCACTCACACAGTTGCTTATAGTGTTCTCGTTTTGTTTTAGTCCTCTGGTTTCTTTCCCCAAGAAAGAAACATAATCTTAAATAAATCAAATGATTATGTCTTAAATGTGTTTAAATTATTGTGCACCTAACTAATTATGGTTTGTTTGCAGGAAGAAATGATGCTGAAGAAATCAGAATACAACACATTATATTCTAGACACGCATTCTCAAACTGTAGCCCTCCAGCTATTTGGGCCTCCAACTCCCAAAATTTCTGAACATTGAACAAGCTGGCTGGGACTTCTGCAAGTTTGAGGCCCAAAGAGCTGGAGGGCTGCAATTTGACGATGCCTGTAATCTAGCAGGTCATTATGTGCAAACTTGGACTATATATTTTCAGAAAGGGACACCAAGTAGTAAAAGATAGATGGCTGGGCAGATGGTTGGCTGACTGTGCTTATATAAATGTTCTCTTCAGATTTTCTTGTAATGGTTAAGGGCATTATCCTTCCAGCACAGCCCTCTGATTGTCACACTTTCCCTTGTGTTCTGTCACCACTGGGCCTGTACACAATGTCTTTATTCTATAGGACACACACTTTAAACCCAGTGGGAAGCGGGGGGGCCCGAAGAGAGATTGTTAGAGACTTCCAGAAGTAATGGGCTTTAGAGTTCTTTAAAAGTACAACAAAGTCTTTATTAAGGAACAAATCTTCAAACAAAACTTCAAGGCTTTACTATTCTAGTCTTTAAGAGACTGGCACTGACTTGGTTTAACTGTACTATTTCAGCATAAGGAAGAACTCTTTATAATCCCTCCCAGGCCGCTTTCTATCTATGCCTAGTCGGCGTGGGTGCTGCTACCGAAATCCATGTGCATCTGGGTATCGAGCAGACCTTACCGGCTGAGGCTTGAAGATATAGCAGCTGGAATTCCGTGGTTCTACAATGCTGTCTAGTGGGAACTTCAGGTCTGTTTTCCCCTCTGGTGCTGTGAGGCTGAGAGGCTGTGAGCTCTCAGCCAAAGCCTTTGGGACCTTTTCCTTCCGTTTCCCTGGAACTGGATAGTCAGTTTGGACCCCGGATGGTCTTGAGGAATGAAGCCTTTCCTATGGGACAAACTGATTTGTGTCCTATAGGCTGGCTTCCTTGTGAGTGACTGACTAAAATGGTTCCTCTCTCTTCCCAAAACCCAGGAAAAGGGGCGGAACCAAAGCTAAATGAAGATGGACAGGGGGCTTGCCCTATGATTGCAAACTATAACAGGAAGCCACCCTGCTGCAAAATCCCAAGCCTGGGATTGCAAACAAACCTTTAGTTCAAAGCAAATAAAATTGGAGCTCCTGGAACAGCTGTTCCAGATCACCTTGACTCTACGTAGGACTCATTGCACTTGGGAATCATGAGTACGAACCAAGCATTTGTTGTTCAGCCATGATACTGTTTTTATGATGTTGCCGGATTATGATGTCTTACTGATTTTTGTTGTTGATTGTATTTTCTTCTTTTAACCTGTACTTCTTGGGCTTGTCCCTTTGTAAGCCACACTAGGACCCTTCGGGGAGATGGAGGCAGGGTATAAAAATAAAGTTGTTGTTGTTATTATTATTATTATTATTATTTTAAAACACAACAATTCTTTTTTTTCTTTTTGCTCCAAGATGAAATGGAAGCAGTATAGGCCAAGAAACTTAAGACCCAACCCACCAAAATAATAAACTGGGCCTTGCTAATTGTTGTGGTGACAAGTGTGCACGTGTTTTAATAATCTATGTTGTACTCTTATTACTTTATTGTTCAATCTCATTTTAACATTTTTATCTTGCAGATTTTTGATGGTATATTTTGTTTGATTTGTTCCAAATTGGAAAAAAGCTGGAATATATATGAATAAGATAATATTATTTTTTTATTTTTTTATTTACAGTATTTATATCCCGCCCTTCTCACCCCGCAGGGGAATCAGGGCAGATTACAATGAATACATAATATGGCAAACATTCAATGCCAATTTGACATACACCGTATACAGACATACACAGAGGCTATTTAACTTTTTCTGGCCGCCAGGGGAGCTGTCATTTTCATCGTCCATCTGCGACACTGATGAAGTACTTCCGCATTCCCCGCATGCTTTTGCTGGAGTGCTTTGCTGGAGTCTTTTTTATGGCCTCATAAATTAGTTAATTTAGCCTCCCCACACAAGGTGGTACCTAATTCTCCTACTTGACAGATGCAACTGTCTTTCAGGTTGCAAAGGTTGACAACAGGCTACACAATTGGTTGGAAGCCTACTCTAACCTGGGCTGGCTTCGAACTCATGACCTTTTGGTCAGAGTGATCTTAATGCAGCTGACACTCATCCAGCTGCGCCACAATCCTGGTGCTTGTAAAGTGTTTTTTGGAGCTGTGGGAAGATTGTACATAGTTATTGTAAGCTAAATATGGGCCACTTCCCATGGATTGTTGGTTTCTTGTGTTTTAGACATTTTGAATTATTGCTTTGTTGTTTAATTAACAGTATTTTATTTCGAGTAATGAATATGTAAAATTAACCAATTTATTGATTTTAAAAAAAACAACAGAAGCTAAATTTGAGAAAATGGATGTTACTATTTGATGAGCATACACTGCATCTTCTATCGTAATGGTCATTAAGGGCCAATTTGACTGAAACTAGAGACCTGGACCATTACCCAACTACTTGTTTTCCCTAAAGTGGAGAATAGCAACTAAAGCCCCTCCCACATAGCTGTATAAAATCCACATTGAACTGGATTATATGGCAGTGTGGGCTCAGATAACCCAGTTCCAACCAGATATTGTGGATTATCTGCCTTGTTATTTTGGGTTACATGGCTGTGTGGAAGGGCCCTAGATGAGGGAATAAAAGGCCAGAGAGTAGCACAAGGGAGAAAAGCCCAACTCATTCTTGAATTGGGATGTCACAGCTGCCACTGTATGTTAGAAATACATACATATAAGAGACTAATTCCACATTTCTTGAGGTCACTTGTGGGTTATCCCTACCGAATTTATGCTGAATGTTTCAGGTACTCAGAATTCTATACGTATCACTTTGGCAGTAATTCTTCTATTAGTTACATTGAATATCATCTTCTTATTGTAAATGTGTCATGAGAAGACAGGACACCTTGTTAATTAGAGTCCAAGGTGAGATTTGCATATAGACTTTCACAACTCTCATCTTGTGTGCCACCAGCTATAGAAACATCAATACATACTTAAGGATTGAAACACAAATGGCAGAGGCTGCGGGCTTTTTTTTTTTTTACTGATAGTAATGCTGTGTTATTCACAAAGGAAACAGGACTGGGGAAAGAGGAATATAGCAGCTTTTTCTATCCATGGAGTAGTTACATGTGATTAATTGGAGAATATGGCCCTTGACATCTGCTCGTTACTATGAAGGGAATGGTTGGCGTCAGTTCAGTACAGTCATTCTGGAAGTGGCCAATCTGTGGCTGCTCCCCACAGTAGCCAAAACATGTCCAGTGACAGCAGTTGCAGCCAAGCATTTGAGGTCTTTCAAGGTCAGGAGTTGTTTCAGCATCTTAATCACTAGATATAATTTCCTTGAGAACTGCTATGCTCTTCCAAGTCAACTTTTGCCCTAAAAGGCAAAATCCCACAAAGGATTTCAATTATAATTTTGGGAGCAAACTATGGACATTGGAGAATACGTTAGCACTGGAGCCTGTTATAAGTAAATAGAGAAGACAGGGCTGTCTGGTCTATTACAACAGCAGCTAAAGATTTCCCACTGCAGTGAATGTTTCACATATGGATTATGTTTCATCTGTGGAATATTTTATGCCTGGTGCTGCTCAGTGGACAAATTGAGAGCTCTGAAATAATTTCCTTTTCCCCTTTGCAATGTAGCCATTACATTTAATGAGAGTTGACATGTCATGTTCAGCTTTGATGTGGAAACCAGAACCGAGCAGTTTCCCTCTACACTATTCCAAATATCTCACCCCTCCCCAACCACCGAAATAAAAGCAAAATGACTCCAACTTCATCCAGTGCTTATATTGTCATAAAACATTTAATCGGCTTTCTATTTGGGTGATTCCTAGAAACTGGAGGATTATACATTCTTACACAACCTTTTCATTGCCTTTCCTTTTTTTCCCTTATATTTGTCCACAGATTAGTGCGAGAGGTAACAGGTGTCAATGTCAACATGCGTGTTGGGATCCACAGTGGGAGAGTTCACTGTGGAGTCTTGGGCCTCAGAAAATGGCAGTTTGATGTGTGGTCAAATGACGTCACGTTAGCCAACCACATGGAAGCAGGCGGCAAAGCCGGGTAAGAGAATTCTGCTCTTGAAGTCACGACGTAGCTTTCACCTTTCTATTTGTCTTTGCTCAGATGCTTCTCTGCAGTTCAGGTGAGTTAGTCTGCTTCTAATGATATCCATTCTGTGAAGATTTGGTATTTCCAAATTTAGATACATTATTTACATCTGAAGTTGCTGCCCCTATAGAAGATGGGGGAGAAACATAAATATGTCTGTACAGCATATCTGTGAAGTCTCTGCCTAGTTTTACTCCTCTGTTTATTTCCCTGTTTGCTCTCTTGGAGGTGGACTGTTCCATTTGCTGAGTTTTAGGGGAGGAATTTAGGATCCCCCTAGAGGCCGAGCTCTGTTGGTTCAGCCCTTCTGGCTCAGAGCTTGGTGGAAGGACTTTTTCCCTCCATTCTTCTTTGGCAGAGCTTTTACCTAGTTGAGCCAGAAAGTGTCTGGTCTGGCTTGGCGATATGAAACAGGCAATCCTAAGCACATGCATGCCATAGCCTGTGCATGCCATAGAACATAGATGTACATGTCATAGATTATAGTACAGGGCTAGTCAAAATGAATAGGCCAATAAGAAAATTAATTTTAGACGAATGTATGTTTACTGTAACCAAACCACAGCTACGTAGCGACAGATAAACTATCAAAGTTTTTTTTGAGCAACACACATGTACGTTAATGCCGCTAGGCGTCGCTAGGGGTCGCTGTTTTCAAAATGGCGGAATCAAGCAAAGAGAAGGCGTTTTGTGTGATGACATTTGCTAAAACAATGTCAGTAATTACGGTCCTGCGAGAATTTCAAGGGTTAGGGTTAGGGTTAGGGTTAGGGTTAGGGTTAGGGTTAGGGTTAGGGTTAGGGTTAGGGTTAGGGTTAGGGTTAGGGTTAGGGTTAGGGATAGGGGGGTTAGGGTTAGGGTTAGGGTTAGGACCTCAACGAACACCTTCCCAGACGTTGCTGCATTCGATGCCATTACGTCGGATGTGCTGCAACGGATGTGGAATGAACTGGACTATCGCTTGGACATCTGCCGTGTCACACGGGGCGCCCATATCGAACATCTCTGAAGGTGAGACAAAACTTTGATAGTTTATCTGTCGCTACGTAGCTGTAGTTTGGTTACAATAAACATACATTCGTCTAAAATTAATTTTCTTATTGGCCTATTCATTTTGACTAACCCTGTATATTCTTCAAAGAGTATAGTTGTACTTGCCCCATAGATGAGAGCTGTACCATCATAGAAAGTACTTACCTCATAGAATATAGTTTGTTCTTTACCTCAGAGTTTATACTTTATATCAGTACTTCACCATTCTAATCCTGTATCATTTTAGTAATCAAGCCTTGTTTTGATTCACCTTGATTGTTTCAGTAAACTTAATTGGTTAAATTTAGTCTCGTCTCCAGAGTCTTATTTTGGGGAATTAAAGTACATGTAGGGCATACCGATGGCACTGGGAATATAGCCGGACACGTATAGTTTTCTTTCCATTCCCAGCGTGCCATCACAATATCCAAACTGGAAATGCCAAGTGCTCCTCCTTTGCTTCTTCATTGAAACCTCTATTACAAAAATAACATTTTTCAAAATAATATTTGGCCTGTGTCTAACCTGATCAGAGAAAATGTCCCTTCCTTTACTGGCCTTGAATTGTCAATGTAATGCAATGGTTTCCATGAAGAAGCAAAAGAGGAACGCTTATAGGTTTCTGTGTACCTTAGTAGTAAGCAGCATCCATCAGTTTTTGCAGCAAAACAGGGATGTAGCTACAAAGTGGGGCCAAACTAGAGTATTCTCCCCCATATTAAGAATATCCCCCCAAACACAATTTCTTTTCAAATTTCTAGCATCACAGTAAATTGAAACTTCAGTCATAGAAAAGGACAGGCAAAAGTTACCAAGTGAGTAGGAACAAAACACATATTAGAATTCTGATGGCCAGTTGATTTTCAAGGTTTTGTTCTCTGTAATGCTATAAATTTGAGAAATGAAAGAAATTTTAATTTGAGGAACAGAGAATTCTTATTTCATAGGATCATAAAATCCTAGAATTGAAAGAGAGCACAAGGAATATCCAGTCCAACCCCTTGCCAGGTAAAAACACACAATCAAAGCACTCCCAACTGATAGTAATCAATTCTCTTAATTTTACACACACCAGAGGATCTACTGGCCAAAAAGGAGAATCACATTCCCAGAAGCCTCCAGGTAGCATGATTCTCAATCTAAACAATATGTCTAGCACCATGTTCCTTATTTTTGATATAAAACACAATTTTGGGAGGGAAATGGGAACCAGTAAGATCTTATTACAATGGGAGAGGTGATATGGCCAACAGAGGATCATGGAGATGAATTACCTCCTGGATCTGTCAAAATGCCCATCCTCATGTAACAGATGAGATGAACAATAGTAAGTTGTATGGAAACAGTAAGGATTTATACAGACTGCACTAGAATCCAGACTGCCACAACTATCTTTTTATATACTGGGACTTTAGTATCCACAGATTTTGATATCCACTCCAATTCCTGAAACCAAACCCCAGCTGTGTATAGAAGTCTACGGAGGATTCACAGTATATAGAAATCTAACCAGTATTTCACTCTTTTCAAACGTTTTGTTTCTTATTTGGTTTATTTTAGTAAACAGTGGATTTTATAGATTGGCTGATTTTGTCTCCATTTAAGGCGAATCCACATAACAAAAGCTACATTAAACTATCTGAATGGTGACTACGAAGTGGAGCTGGGTTTTGGCGGGGAACGCAATGCTTACCTCAAAGAGCATAGCATCGAGACTTTCCTCATCGTACGATGCAGCCAGAAAAGGGTAAGAGCCACCAAATGTTACAATATGATGACACTCTTTACTGTGTGCATATACTAGTAAGGGTTGCTAAGGGGTGGAGCTAATTAACAAGCCACTAGAAATTTCTCTCTGGCCTTAACCATCTTCTGTAAATCATAAGCCCTGTTTTGTGTAACTTGTGTCTCTCTCTGTCTTTTTGTTGATAGGGAAGTAAAAGGAATTTTAGGACTTTTTCGTGTGCAGAAGAATTAGGTGATAATCCTGAGTTTAGGGGAAATTATTATTATTTCACATAAAATTTCAATAATGTTTTGTGTGCAAAATGTTTTTTGTTTTGTTTTTTTTTGTTTTGTTTTTTTTGCGTTCCCCGGGCAACATCCTTGCAGACCGCCAATTCTCTCACACCAGAAGCAACTTGCAATGTATTCTCAATTTGTTTCTGACATGATAAAAAGTTTTCTGCCCAATTAATCAGTAGCTCTGGGTAACATGATTTACTTATTAAGGTGTCTCTGTGATCCTATTCCAGTTGTCTCTATTACATGGCTGTGTAATGGGCTCCTGTGAGTTGTGTCTGGATTGCTGTTATTTCTTCAAACATGTATACCTCATGATAGAGGGTTATCCTTGCATGGTAAGCAAAGCTTGCCATCCAATACTGTTTATGAGAAACATATACAAATATACAGATACAGAGAGAGAGAGAGGTTGAGAAAAATATTCCAAAACATTTTATGTGAGCCATATCAAAATTGTGTCCTGCTGGGTTTGAATCTTAGTGACTTTTCATTTAGTTCCTGTAATAACAATTGCAACATATTGGAACATGTATTTTGAAGGTAGAATTTAAATCACATTTTTTTTCCTGCAGCTTCTAAGAGTTGCAGGAAATAGCTTTCTAAAAGCGTTTTAGCAGTTACTATATATATTTATGTGTATGTATAGGAAGTTTAGTAACCCCCCCCCCCCCAAAAAAATACCCTCCTTTCGTAGTAGGAATGAGAAATTTTTTTAGTCCTGTGTATAATTTTTGGAACCTGGTTCTTTCTATTCTGAATGTGAAGATACCTGCAAATTTTGGTAAATAGTTGCTTTAAAAAACAGACAAATGGGATTTCTCTTCCATTTGCACTGATTAAATATGGTAATTCTCACTATTCTCACTGTTTTCCACATTGAGGTAACTGTGTTATACCTGCCTTAGTATGGATATTAAAGGTGTGGATCCTTTCAACGAAATGAGGTGGCAAGTTCTAATTTGATTGAATACACAAGGTGTTCGGACCAGATTTCTGAGAATTAAACCTTCAAGTCTAAGCTTCAAATGCACAAATCTGTTCCTCCTGCATTTGTTTTAATTTCAGTTATCTTTCTATGTGAAATATGAATGTCTTTCCTTCATATCAGAAATGAATTGTTAAAAATTCTTATTCATCGCTATTTCAGGATTTTCCATATTGCTGTCCTTAAAACAGTCTTTGTTTGCTTTGTTATAATTACCTACACACATATTATCTGTTCATATTGAGGAGATCTCAATAGATTCAATAAAAATAGCTTATCCTTGAGTCATGATAAAACTTCCAGATGAAATATGACTAAGGTAAAGAAAGTGAACCAAAAGAACAGCAACAGAAAATCTGAGACTGTGCCCCAAAATTCCTTTATATAAGTGTTTTGGATATATAGGAATTGGCTTTGCACTGTTTTGATGAGTTTTCAAATAAGACCTTTGTATAAGGAACAAACACGGTGTCTGAACACTGTGACACTGTAAAGAATTTCACCATTAAATTCGGAATGTCCTGATTTTGATCTAAAAATAATCTTAAAGCGCATACTTCTTTAAACACAAAGAAGTAAATATGGCTAATGCTGCTTTGTATCTTTGTATCCATAACTACAAGTCCAGCCCCAAAAGGCTACTTTCCAGGCAGCAATAACTGGTATTGTGATACTTAATGCATGCAAGACGGTTGCGTGCGCAGGACGACCATCCACCAGCCTGCAACAAAAACAGCAACTCAGATATTGGGATAACAAAGGCCACAATTTATTGGTTACATCTGAAGACAGGGCTAGCAGCGATACATGGGTCCTGGATCAACAACACAAAGTGGGAGCCTCTGAAAGGACCAAATGATATTAGAGAGCAGGCATGGTGCAGGCTCGAATCTAGCACCACTCTGGGATCCACTCCCACCTCCCCTGGGTATATCAGGACCCAGACCCATGCCAACAGCCCCAGTGCCAAAAAACATCTTACATAAAAAACAACCATACAACAGAAATAACCAACGAAGAGTTGGAAGTTGGGGAGAGCTCAAAGGCAACTGGCTTGGAGGAGCAGCAGCGCTGGGACACCCCCAAAGGGGGTGAGTCTGGGGGCAGCCTACAGGTGGGATAGCACGGAGGGTCATCCTCAGGTTGTCCTCCCAGCATAAACATGGGGCTGCTCACCCTGCCTTTGTGCCAGGAGGAGGGCAAGACAAGCAAAGCCCCCTTGGCCGCCGCCTGGCTCCCCTTCCAGCCTGAGGAGTCAGCAGCCCACTGTGTTCCCGGGCTGAAAGGAGGAGGAGGAGGAGGAGATAGGTCAATCCTGAAGATCTCTCCAGCTGCTGTCTTCCTTACACTTGGCACTCTTCTATGCCTGGGAGACAGCAAGCCGCTGCTTTCCCAGCAGAGAAGAGGAGAAGGAGGGAACAGGCCATTGCCGGAGCTTCTCCTTTGCACTCTTCTCTGCCTGGGGAGAAGGTGGCCCTCCACATTCCCAGGCAGGGAGGAGGAGAAGTCACATGGCTGGCAAGAGCTCCATAGAGCTCTCATCCCTCGACCCTCTTCCCAGCCTGGGGACGTGGACTGCCGCTTCTACATGCTGGCAGGAGTGCCAATGCAGATGAGGGCTGGGTCGGAGACCCCAAAGTGCCATCTCTGGCCCATGGTCCTAAGTTTGCCATGCCTGATCTACAGGCATACCACAGTTAATAAAGTGTCTAGGAAACAAACTTTTACAAAGATATTTTGTTGGAGCCCAGTCCTCCATTTTTGCTAATCTTCTATCTAGTGGGAATGTTTTTTTTTCCCATCATTGACATTGGAAAGTGGGAGAAAGAAAGAGTTTTATCGTTAGGATGCAGCTGCATGCACTGCAAAAATTAATGTGATAAAGCTTGACCTTGGAAATAATAACCACCTAATCTACAGTGATTCCACTGTAGGGATATGTGCTTACATGTAGCAGACAAGCTGCTTTCAGAGTTATCTACAGAACTGAATATTTAGAAAGAAAAGAGGAAATCAAACTAACTGCGGTGTATTGTGTGTATGTGTTGTTTTTTAAGTTGTTTGATAGCGTAATGAGCTGGTTCCACATTTAGTTATAGTTAGAGTAGAATTATTAAAATTATTGGGTCTCAGATTTGTCAAGTCTAAAATTAATTGATTTTAGTGGGTCTTCTCTGTATATAACTGAATCTGGGATCAAGTAGACCAGGGGTTCTCAAATTTTTTCAGCCATGGAACCATTTCTGAAGCAAAAGATTTTTGTGGAGTCCCAAGAAATGTTATATATTATATTATATATTGTACATAATGTATCTATATCAGGTATGGACAAACTTTTTTTACCAACATAAGCTTAACTGTATTTCAGTGGAAGACCCCAGAGGCCATCCAGTCCAACCCCTTCTGCCATGCAGAAAATGCACAATCAAAGCACCCCCTGAGCAGTGGGAGGAAAATAGAGTTTTGGAAGCAAGGAAGGCGAGGGAAAAGGGTTCTGGGGAGTGAGGAAAAAGACTTTTGGGGATGAAGGAGGTGAGGAAAAAAGAGTTTTGGTGGTGGGGGGGGGGGCAGGAAAGAGGAGGGAAAGCTTGGAGGGGGAGGGGAAGGGGAAGGGAAATGCTGAGCTTCTCAGTGTGTTTCGCAGAGCTCCAAAGGCTCCAGAGAGCACACTTTGAGAACCCACCTATGCACCCAGGCCTATGAGGAATAGTATACTCAAACATGTGGCTTCTTGTGAAATGAATGTATAATGGATGTGGCTTTTAAATGTGGGTATGTGTTTTAATTTATTGACTCTGCTTTTAATATTTGTATGAAATGTTTACTTCATTGTGTCTTATTGATTTGTTATTGTTTACCTGTGTTATATTAATTGTTTGGTGTATTATGCTGTTTTGGTATTGAATGGCTGCCATTTTTGTTGTAAGCCATCCTGAGTCCTCATAGGGGAGATGGGATGGGATACAAATAAAGTTTATTATTATAGTTTTTTATAACCACTGAACTAGACTATCTTTCTGGTTGTTTCCAGCTAGTAAATCACTGTGGATTGTTTAGTTTGCTACATTATTCTTATTAAAATGTTCTTAATATATTTCTACTTGAAACATTTATAGGGAAGAAACATCCTCCAAAATGTAGAAGTGTTCACAATAAGAGTCACTTATGGAATTTTCTACATTTTGCATTAAAATAACTTGACCTGCTTTGGAGACTTGCATTTGAGTGGGTAGCAACATTTGCTTCTCTGCCTCAGGCACCAAAATGTTTTTTTCCTTAACAGTTAAAACATTTCTCATATATCATTACTCATTACAGAAATTTGATGGTATCTTTTATCTGCTAATTTGAAGATATTTTATTGTATGGATCTAGATTAGATTCATCATCAGCTTTAAAAAAATAAACTGATGGTTACAAAACTCTTACCTATGCTATAATAAAATACATAGTGTAGTTTTATTACACTGGACAATAAATATTTGTTTGCTTTGGCGTCTATTTTTTTGGCATCTAATGAGATGTGATTTCAAAATCAGTAGTTACAGAATCAGTTTTAGGCCAGTAGGCACGAATAGTCAGATTGCAAACCATGTGAAATACTTAGAACAGCTATTTTAGAAAGAAAAACAACCCATCCAAATACATAACAAATGGAATTCATATTACTGTATTTTTAGAATCATTTTAACTTCCATTTGGATGAACTTCCCTTACACAATTTTCAACATATTCTGGCACATAAAGTAACTGTGGCTAGAGTTTTTATAGATTGAACAATCCTTTTTTGGATACAGAAAAGAAAAGGCATGATTCTGATGGTTTAAGTACTGTTCTCCTCTCACCTTTAAGGCTGACTCTTATGAAATCTTGGGATTTGCAGTTTGTTGAAGCACTGACAGACAACTCTAAAGGCTGCAGAAAATCACAAATCCCGGGATCCCATAGAATGGAGCCATGGCAGTTAAAATTGCGTTAAAGTGTATTAGTGGTGCAACATGAAAGATGTCTTTGACTGAAAAATGTAATTCAGGGATTCTAAACTTCATAACCTAAACTCCACAAATAGTGTGGGGTTGTACTACAATATCAGTCCCAAGGCGAACAGATAACTTTGACCAAAGGATCCATCAGGATTCAGTACTGCTTCCAGTCACTGGCTTAATCACAGTACTGTTATAAGTTCAAAGCTACAAAAAAAAAAAAAAAGACAAAGTGCACATGAGCAATATTGCATGCTTATATGCATGCTTATATTCATCACACTAGAGGAAAAACCCACTTAAAATCTGGTTGCTACCTCCTGCAAAATTCTGGGGTTTGTAGTTTAGTGAGGCTATTAAACTGCAAACCCCAGAATTCTGCAGCAGGCAGAAACTGGATTTTAAGTACATTTCTTCTCTCTCTAGTGTGATGAAGCCTAAGTTATATGTGACCAATGCAGAATGTAGCCAGGGATTGTTATTCATTGTTCATGAGAATATTCTTAGGGTCTAGCACTAACCATGATATTACATGGGGTGGCCTTTGGCTCATAATATTGCAGTTACATTTCTAGCATAACACAAAAAGCAGGGTTCAGTAAAACAATACAGGCCATGGGTATGCTGTCAGATATTGTCATAATGGAGTTGTTCAGGTTCACCAAAACAGATTAATATATAGCTTTTTTTTTTTTTGTCATGTCAGGAGCAACCGCTCCTGTTGTGAGAGAATTGGCTGTCTGCCAGGACATTGCCCAGGGTACGCCTGGATGATTTTTGATGTTTTTTATCATCCTTGTGGGAGGCTTCTCTCATGAGGAGCTGGAGCTAATAGAGGGAGCTCATCCGCCTCTCCCCGGATTCGAACCTGCGACCTGTTGGTCTTCAGTCCTGCCGGCACAGTGCTTTAACCCACTGCGCCATCCATATATATATATATATATATATATATAGCTATAGAAATATAGCTGAATCTTTAGTTCTTACTTTGCACCAACAGTAGCACCATGATGAACAATTCCCATAAGGTCGAGGCACATTTCCTCATACTGCTCCACGTCTATGAGCAATGGCCACTATTGTTCAGTTAAAACTGCTTCAGTCCTGTGGGAAGGGGATGGAGACTGGTTGGCCTGTATCCACAGGTCCTTTGTCTAATATAATATGTAGTGTCAACATGCAGTTGGCTTACATCAAACATAATGTCCAGTTTCACCTTAAGGGACAACAACTAAAAATCAGAGGGAACACCTGCTTTCTGAGAATGTAAAAATGGACTGTCCTCCACAGCTGATTCAAGAACTGTGTTATAATACAATACAGCAGTTGTATGGCTGAAGACAAAATAAGAGTGACATAATGTGTGAGATACTGTTGTGTATTTATTCTGACTTCTGTTTTAAACCAAGAGCAGCTGTAAGATACTATGTCCTGAAATGAAGGACAAAGAAAAAGGTCTGCTAAACCCTCTTCTTAATCTGGTAATTTTCTGCACTCAAAATCTTCCAGTGGGCTTCCTGGCCCTCCACCAAGTTGCTTTTCTACCAATTGAGAAGTTCTTTGATTGATGATTGAAGCTGTGGAATAGAGAGAAGGACTGATTGAAGGGAAAATTCAAGAGGTTTTTTCAATTTTAAAATTGGTTGTTTTCTTAAAATTAAATTAAATTAGAAACTTTCCAAGTATTGTTTACTTTTTTCACCCTTTAAATCTTACACTCCTCTACCTAAGTTCATTCTCTTATAGGTTTGGTATGTGCAGAACAAAACATATATTAAAAACCCAAGCCAGTTCACATGAAATAAAATATATGTTTATCTGTGTATCTACATGCAATGTATTATTTTTGTGCTGGCACAAATCAGTTTTGATCTACTGATATCTGAGATAGGCAGATAAAAGTGAATCTCTAGACACAGATGTGCAGAAATGTTATAATATTCAGTATATTCGGGGAGTGGTGGCAATAACTTTTACCACAATTGTTGGCTTGCTACTCATCACAGTTACTAACCTTTGAAGATATTGGTTAATCTAGCAATGTGGAGATGAGAATGATTTCAGAAGCAGGGCTGAAAGTAAAATTTGGCCATTGAAAGATAATTGAAAGACAATCTTTTCCCTGTTTTCGTCTTTCTAGAAAGAAGAGAAAGCAACAATAGCCAAGATGAATCGTCAGCGCGCTAATTCCATTGGCCACAACCCTCCGCACTGGGGAGTGGACCGCTCCTTTTACAACCACCTTGGCAGTAATCAGGTTTCCAAGGAGATGAAAAGAATGGTAAAGATGTTGAGTTTTTATGGTGCATATGTTAACAGTTGTTGACAAATATATTATAATTGTGTGTTTATAGTAGCAGTGGCTTTAAGGTGCTAGAAATTCATATCAAATGGTAGCTGTTCTGCAATCTCTCTGCTCACAAACGGTGGGCCTCAGTTGGGGGAAAAACACTCCAATAGGCATACAACTATTGAATCAAAGCTTGACAACTATGTGTGGGCCAGAGCCATTTCTAATTCTTGTACTCAATTACAGATGTGTCAAAGAATTCCCAGTTGCGAGGGAAAGTAGGGCCAAATCAAGACTGTGGTTTGAGCAGATTTGCAGTGGTTTGGTTTGGATGATGTTTGCACCTGATACTTGTAGGGCATCCAGGAGTTCTAAAGTGCTTGGATAGTCTTGAAGATGTAGGGGGGAAATGGTTGCGATGACCAGACAGAAACACACCAATACTTGCTTTCTGATAAAACATTGAATGAAGCCAGTTTGCTCAGCACCAGGCATGTAGCCGGGGGGGGGGCCTCGGGGGGCTTCAGCCCCCCCCCCAAAATTCTCATGGTGGTTCGCGAAAAGGCCTTACTGGTGCATTATTTAAACTGTTACGTTTATTCATATCATGATCTGATAACCATACTCAATATATCCCATATGCCTGAGGGTATTGGGGTAATGATACAAAAGGTTTGCTAGGCTAGACCCTCTTTCACTCAGACTCAGCCCCCCCCCCCCCCCCCCCCCGAAACAAAATCCTGGCTACGGGCCTGCACAGCACCTCCCTTTACCAGCCAGCTAGAATAGGCAAGGGTTCTCTATAAGTGATGCCACAGAATCTTGATTCAGCCACAGAATCATACATACTTGAAATAATGTGAGACATCTATATCTGTGGTTTGGTATTTGAATTTCAAATTGTGCATCATGAGAGAAACCCTTGCTAAATCTCTAACGGAGAAGACAGAAATACTAACAATAATTATAAGGAAAAGAAAGATGCTCAAAAGGCAGGGATTGAATTGTATTGCTTATGAGAGTCCCTCACTCAGAAGAAGGGGGACATGGTGCACATATATTTCCCCTTGGGTACTTCAAGAGAGACAGTAGGAAGATAATATACCTATAGAGGCAAGTTGTTGATGGCTGGCCTGCAATGTCTGAAACAAAGTTTCCATGTTAATGCATGTCATACAAATGGTCACACTTTCACAAAAGACCAAACAATTCATGCCTCAGATCCTAGCATTGACGGAGGAGTGTGTTGTCTCAAGGACATGGGGAATGGTTTAGTTCAGACATTACAGCAACCAACTCCTCTACATGCATATTATCTCCTGACCTCAATGAGTGCAAGCAGTATCCATTTTGCCAAGGCCCAAGTTCAGAGAGAGCCTCAGAGATGAGCTTTCTGTGCATTCCCAAAAGGAAATGGGTGAGAACATCAGATCAGGATCTTGTTGCAACAATAATTATTCTTCTGAACTGATCAAGAAGGGGCATAGCCTGGGACATTCTAGCTATGAAGAAGACCAATAGTATAATATAGTACAGCCCCGCATATCTGAAGGACCAATAACACGTTTCATTTACCCACATAAAACAAAATATGTACCCCCTAGGCATTTTCTGGGGCCTCCAGAAAATGCTTCTGCCAAAGGTTGCCATGGGCTTGCATTGGAAGACCTAGCAATGTCTAGAGAGGATTTCTAGGTCTTACAGCATGCATTTGTGGTATACTTCCATCAGAAATCATTCATTTAAACGAGTTCACTTCACCTGCAATATATATATTGCTGGGAGATTCTGGCAAGTGTAGCTCCAAAAGTAACTCATCAACAACAACATAAAGTACAATGCTAATATATTTACTTGGGTATAACAGTGTGACGCTTTCAGTATTTTGAGCACTCTTTTGCAATTTGAAGAGGATATACTAGATACAGCTTATCTCTGAAATATACACTCACAAATAATGCTTCTTGTGTGACATTTGTGGACATATTATAAAAGTATAGATTCTTATGACTCAAAGGCCTAATATAAGGAAAAATTATCAGAGCAATCAATAATAGTGTTTCTCTGCAACATATTATCATGCTGCATCTATCAGAAAGATTTAACAAGGTAACAAATCCTTACACTAGTCATTGCACAACAGTACTATTGAAAGTAAATGGGTTCATCAACAGAAATGTGGTCTGGGAATATCAAAATGTTGAAAAGACCATCATATCATTTTAAAACACTTTTAAAACATTTCATTTATTATCAGATTCAACATGAATTTCATTTTAATGCCTCTTTTGCCTGAACAAAATGTATTTTAAAGAGTGATATTACAAAATCCATCTTCTCTTCACGCTGAGGCATATCTCATATTAAAAAGAACTGCATATCCTATAGAGCAATGCAAATTACATAATTAACTTCTTTAGGTATAAAATTTATAGTGCAATCCTCTACATGTCAACTCAGAAGAAACCCCTAATGAATTGACTGGAAAATGTGTTTAGGACTGCAGCTGAAATTACTTGTCTTGCCAATTCTGTTTAAAATGAAATGGGAAATTCAAAGATTTCTACTAGAAGTAATTGAACCTAGCTTATGTTTTTGCAGATATATTACTGTGAGCGATTATACATTCACAAATATGCATCTTACAGCTAGTTACAGAACTGTAATATGAATGCTGTAGATTTTTTTCCTGTTATGTTAATGCTTTAAATATGCATTTTGTCAAGTAGGCATAGCATAATATCAGTCCAGCTGCAGCTTTTGTTAGTGTAGAAACCTCTCTTGGCTCTTTGGTCATGCAAACTCACAAACACGATGCGATTGAGAGATTGTAATCAAGCCAGCATGTAATTATAATTAGATGTTTCTTTGAATGGGTGTTAGTGGGGTGTTTGCATCATCCTATTCTTAGACAAAGAGTAGTTGTGCCAAGAGGTATTACGCATCATGTTGTTAATTAGAGTCGCTATGTCTAGCTGGTGGCTCAGAAGGAAAACATTGTTATTTATTGAAATATCAAACTGAGCTTTTTAAAAGAGGGAGAGAGAGAATATTATATGTAGGGGAATTGGAGGAAGATGTGGTGATAGACTGGCTTTTGTGCCTTCACATTTATGATCGGTTATAATGACATAGTGGCTTATTTTGCTGGAGATGGGTATTTATGCATCTCTGGATCAGTTTCCAGTGGTGTTACAAAAGTTGCAAATATTTCATAAGGAATGAGGTTGAAAGAAGAATTGTTGCACTAGGTATTTGTTTCCTCTGTCCCAGTGTTTTTAAGCAGACCCCCAACCCATGTTTATTAAAAAATCTACATACAATACAGTCACTCTCCTTTCCCTTGACTGTCCATAGAGTCAATCAAATCATACCTTTTGTAGCTAAGGGGTTTGAGACAAATAATAAGGAACACTTCTTTCCTCTTTCCCAAAAAATGAGCACTGTTGTCTTTAATACAATCTCAAACTGAGACAGGAAAAACTAATTTAAAATTAATTCCAAATACAGTTTTCAAGTCACCTTGCACATGAGATAGGATTGTGATTTTTATAGTTGGTACCTGTTTTAATGCCGATGATAATGGCTTATTGGATAAAAAGGACTTACTATCACTCATTAATTGAGCTATTAGACCAGGAGTGAGAATCATGGACTGCAAGTATGAGCAGCCATGGCCAAAATAGCCAGTGGGACAGATGCCATCCTAAAACATCTAAGAGCCCCACATGGGTCACACCCATGCATTTCATATAATGTCATTCGAGCTGTAATCTTCTGTTGGGGTAATCAAATCTTAGGCTCTCACCTCTTCCATTTCTCTTGTAATTTCACCTCTCAGAGTTCAGCAACTCACCTGTCTGCCTTAACTCTTGACTCCCCCTCTCTAATCTCTCTGTGAAACAAAGTATGCTTTCTCTGATTCCAGTTTTTGTTTTGTTTTCGTTAGCGAGCTCCTTATCATTATTACTATTATTCCTTGCTATCACAAGTCAGGACAAATTTGGACAACTCCTATATTTTGTTTCTGAATTACTGTTTTGCTACCTTAAATCCTGCAAATGAGCTATTTTTCCATAAATAGACATCTTTTAATATATGTGTACAATTTCTTATTTGAAAAGTTGGCAGCATCTGACATTCTGTTTTGGTTTTTAAAGTATCAGATAACCAGAAGCCTTGTTTTACTTATTGAAGAACATTTTTATGCAGCTTTTCATTTTTCAAACATCCAAAAGCGATTTACATTAAAATCAAGAGACAATAAAAGCCGATCAACCCTTGATGGTGATTCTGTCAAAATCCTCATGATTCACTCTGTTGTGTTTGATTTGGTAGCAGCCAGGGAGAATTAACAATTCAGGTTGGTGACATGGTGTTGGAGAAGATGGGCTTAGTGCCAATTTAAATAATCCCTTTTGAATGTGCTGCTTGGAGTGCTGGGAGAAAACAGTGGTCAATACTAGCTACATGGCAAATACCAGCTGCTATGGTTTTTAAATATGAAAAATTGGAAACTTTTTCTTCAACGCTAAGACCTCAATCAAATCTCCCCTACCCTACAGTGTTTTGAAATAGAGAACTTCCTATCCATGCAACTTCTTTAGCACTTATCCTACTTGGTTAGGAAATTGAGCTTTCCTTACATATTTTTCAGTTTGAAGTAGAACCCCAAATTTATTCTAGACCCATATTGGAAATTGTCCCTTTTAAAGTTTACTTTCCTTAGAACTAATGTGCTATTTCTGCAGAGGAACCCCAAAAATCAGTTCTCATTTCATGTTAGCCAGAATGATATTGGCATCTCAACTATGTATATTTTCTTGAATATAAAGTGGATTCTATCCCATTTTCAAAAAAGCGAAGACTGGTGGATGTCTGTTGGTAATGAAAGACCCATCTCTCTCATAGCAATGCCCTTTATAGCCATGATTTCCTATTGTGGTGTTGTGTTGTGCTTAAGTATTTTCGTTTGTTTGTTTGTTGTTGTTTGTTTGTTGTTGTTTTGGCATCTCAGCAAGGAGCAAATAAGGGACTTTTCATTTGTATGTATTGGCCAAGGTGGCAGAGATCTGGATTAGATTGGCATTGAGATCACGTATCAAGCATGAATCTGGCCAGAGTGTACCAATAGCTTTAGGGAAATCTCTGCTCTCAGCATCTGTCACTGTTTGTGTGTTTTGAGTCTCAGTTTCCAGTCCAAACAAAACAGAGTAGATCCGGTACAAACTAATACTGACCAAGTCACATATTTAATCATATTTTGGCACATGTCTCTGAGATATACAAAGGAGTTTCATTCCCATTACTCTTTTTCCCATTCTTTTTCCCCTTTGCTTTCCCCTCCCCAAAAGTGTCATGTTTCTGAACATAATCATGAAGATATTTTTATAGTAAGATCTTGCAGTGATGAGCAATTGCTGTTCCCAGGGTAACCCAAAACCTGTTGGCAGATTTGAATGCTTTGTTACAAGCCTAGGGCCATAGCAAGGTGGGGACAATTGATTAATTGCTAAATGCTGATGTGTTTGTGTGTGTGTTTTAAAATGTATCTTCTGAATAGAAAAAACTCTATATGTCTGAGGTCCAGGTTATTTGAAAGGCCATATTCTTCTTTACAGACCTGCCCATGCTTTGATTCTACTGGGAAGACCCTTCTCTCTGTCCCACCACCCTCAAAGATATGTCTTGGGGGCACAATTGAGATCCTTCTTAGGGTTCTTCTTAGGGTTCTTCTTAAAATAACCCACTTCCTCCCGGGTTTCTGTCCTCTCTCCCTCTCACAACCCCAGGCTTTCCCTCAGGGGGTGGCTAGATGTCATCCCCCAGCCCTCAATCCCCCCCCCCCAAAAAAACCCGTACCCAAGAGGCCTGCGGAAAGCACAGGCCCCACTGTAGAATATTCCTGGTGCTTGAAAATGACATGTCAGAAGGTGGAGAGGGAGAAGGGAGCTGTGGGGATTGGCCCCAGTAGTCCTGGGAGTCAATCCTCACAGGGCTCACACCTGGAAAGATCCGGACCTTAGCTTAAGGTCCGTTTTTTCCAGGTGTTTAATCAATGCAGAGTAAACCCCCGTTTTCTCCACATTAATTCACTTTTAACTAAGGCATCGTTTGGATGCCTCAGGTAAAAGTGAGACAGGTCCCACATTTTGGGTCTGTCTGCAAGGGTCCTTAGTGGTTGTTCCCAAGCTCTGGAATTCCTTTCCCAGTAAAGTTAGATCCTAAATGTAGTTTTAAGGCTATTTTCATTTTTGTGTCATGACGCAAAAAAATAACTTTTTTAAATTTTCATATTTATATCATGCATTTGCTCTGTTTTGATATGTATCATGTCCTAATTGCCTTTAGCTACATTGAGTCCCTATATTGAGAGAAAGATAGGATTAAAAAATCAAGTAAATAAATATCTACTTTATTTTAGAAGAGAGGGACTTTTCTGTTTTGATGGGCCATTGATGATTTATATATGCCCACTTAAACAATGTGCTGGTGTATGTGTTGGTGTAATTGGTTTATGTTTAATTGGTTTTTGCTTTTGATTGTTTAATCTCTAAACTCTGCGTGTTTACATTTTGTTTTGAATATGTTATGAGCTACTTTGATTTGTATTTGCTAGTCTTATATGGGACATGTTTAATGCCCTTCAGTTTCACAAGGAACCCTACTGTAAAGATGTCATAGAACTGATTTCAAAGGATTTAAAATAAAAAATGAAAATAGTATGTCTTGAAACACAAGGAACTTACCTAATTGACTATAAATGCACAGAGCATCGACTTTTGCTGTAGTTTAACGACTCAGAATATATCCAGGAGTTGAGTATAGTTAAATTAAACACAGAGATTTCTCCAAAAGTGATATACTTATAATTCATGGCCAATATGTTTCTGAATTGCACCTTTAATTGATCATCTTTGCTGATGACTCTATCCTCAGCTTGCCACCCCAATTCACCCATGATTGGTAACATGAAATTTTGAAAGAAGGTTTATCAAGGCTGTCATGAAATGGCCGCAAATCAAGTATATGGTTCCATAGTTCAACCCTGTAGAAATGAATGAGTCATGAGTGTACATAGCTGCCCTGAATTAAAGAAATAGTGCCTTCATTAGCTGAGTATGACATGAGTGTTTATTTGCTAAGTGCATCAAATGTCCATCTTAAATATTCTAATACAGTTTTACCTATTTTGGGATGACATTTTCATTATTTTATCATCATGTTTGCTCACTTTGACTGTAAATTGCCTCATATTTTGAGTGACAAGGTCTGAATATACTACATAATAAATAAACAAATGTTTCATTTAATTGGAAGATGTGCTTACAATGATTTACCGAGAGCGGGCTTTTGCCTGCCCTTTACACAGTGCCACATTCACCTTCATATCAATATAATCACGACTTTATTTTATTTTTATTTTAAAATCAGAGTTTCGTTCATGTCCTGCTACTTAAGCCAAAATGACTAAATTGAAATTGTCATACTTTGGACTTATCATGACACAACACACTAAAAAGTTTGTGATGTTTGGCAGTGGAAAGCAGTAGGAAAAGAGGAACATCGCAATACAGGTGGATTGATTCAATCATGGAAGCCACTGCCCTATGTCTGCAAGACCTGAGCAGGGCTGAGAATGACCAGAGCTCTCAAATGCCTCTCATTCATAAGGTTGCCACAAGTTGAAGTTGACATAAAATCAGTTGAGGAACAAAAACACTGGAAAGTATCTTTTAACATGGCCAGGTTGCGTTGAATTTTCAATAATGGTGATGGGACATGCTAGTTTATGGGGTACAGCACAGGGCAAGCATCACAGCTCAAGGGGAGTTATTGCAGTTGCAACACACCCTCTGTCATTCCTCATGTACCTGAGTTTAGGGCCTACTCTGAAGAATGCCATGACCTCATCTATATTGGCAAATATTTGCACGCACACACATAAGTGAATGAATGTTAAGTTATGCACTCCCCCAAGGCCATAGAGATATCTGAAGGCACTTAGTAAAATCGTGGGTGTCATATGCTGATATAGTCAGCTCTCCATATCCACAGATTCTGCATCCAAGGATTCATGCAAAGAATTCAAAGAAGTAAAGCTTGATTTTGCCATTTTTATACAAGGGATGCCATCTTACTACACCATTGTGTATAATAGAATTTTTGCATTCATGGATTTTGGTATAAACAGGGGGGTTCTAAAACCAACCCCATTGTATATCAAGGAATCACTATTATCACTTCACATTTTTCCAGGGTACTTACTTATATCCATCTATCATCTATCTCTAGGTGCCCATTAGCTGGTAGGTACAAACAACATTAAAATAAATGCTTTAATGCTGAGGTTGTATGACAAGTCAGTTTGGGAAATGAACTTTGATCCCTTTATTTTTACATTTTTGAAACATATATGTGCTCTGGACTGTATATAATTGACAAATTTGTATTCTGATGGGACAACAGGTTCTAGTATGGTGTTGCTAATTGAATGCCCCATAAATGTTTTTATATTAACTGTAATGCGTCAAAATTATTTATTCTCAAAGTCATGATGCTGGTTAATTTGTCTTCCCTCCAATATTCTTTTCAGGGTTTTGAAGATCCGAATAATAAGTAAGTACGATTTTTATTTTAATTTAAAAAATGTAGTGTGAAATCTCTAAAGTTTGTCTTCAAAATACAGAAACTCCATTGTCATTTTTAATACTACTTGCATGAATTCCCTTTCACATTAAAATTTTATTTGGCACTGAGATACAATGCAAACTTATATAGTTTGTATCTTAGGCTGAGGAGCCTCCAATCCTACTGCCTCCTCTTTGACTTTATCTCTTGATTGTTGATGCGGCTTTAGTGAGTTATGTTTTTCAAGCGTTGTTCATTTAGAAAGCATCTCGAGTGTCAGCATGACAAATTGAAGAGTGGGCAGATATCTGGAAATGTTTGAAATAAAAAGTGAGATGAGGAAAATAATTATTGTACAAATTTGTCACTCCTACCTATACCTAAGTAACCCATATACCTCCTGAAGTACTGTATTTTAAGATGGAAATTAAATTTTACTAATTATCACATTTGTCCATTATATGTAGGTAACTTCTTTACCAGAAAAAAATGCCTTAATTACTTCTGGGACTTAATTACTTCTCTGTGAATATATTTAAGAGAACCAGCTTTAAATCATGGTTTTTAGTGGTGGACTGTGACTTTGGAGACCTGGCTTCAACCATGGAAATCCACTGGGTGACCATTCTCAAATCATACTTTCTCAAACCCTGAGGAAGCCAAGGGCACATCTCTTCTGAACAAATCTTGCCAGTAAAACCCTGCGATAGTGTCACCTTAGAGATGTCATAATGACAAAATATATTTTATTCAGATGTATGAATACTAAAGATGGGTTAGATAAGCATGTTAGATTGAATGTTGGGGTTACTGCTGCCTGGAACTGCCCTTGGAGAAAGAAGGAAAGCATTAAAAAACATGTCTGTGAGACATAGAGAGAAACTCTCCTTTGAGAAACCTCCAAAATAATTTGATTTTTATTTCACAAATTTAAGACAAACAATATGGCGTTTTAATAAATGTCAGCTAACAGTTGCATGTTCATGCTGACCCGGGTTTTAAAAACTTGGGTTGGCATGGACTTTACCGCTGCCTGGAACCCGGATTGGGGTTGACTGTAGTCCGCACACCAACCTGGAAAATGCGCACTTTTTGGGCTGGGTATCTTGACAGTGAGACAGACCTCCCCCCCAAAAAACATTTTAAAATAAAAGAACATACCCTGGCACCATTAGCATAGTGCTGGAATTCTCCTGCCCCCACCCCTTCTCCTGTCGTGTCATTCCTTCATACCAGGAGAGCTTCAGCAGCAGTCTAATGGCATCCAAATTAGTTTTTTTTTATTTTTAAGGCTTTTCTGGATGGTTTTGGGGAGGGGGTGGGGGACTGTCTTGGCTTTCTTGGGCTCTAAGAGCCGAAGAAACCTGAGACAGCTGTGCAGATGGACACCGGATGGGCACGCAGCATTATCCCCAGTCCCATCTACACAGTCCCTGCACCGGGAAAGACACAGATCTTCTGAAAGACCTGGGTTTTTCTAGCATCCAAATTACCTTGGCACAAAGCAGGGTTTTCCTGCTTTGTGGCAAATGCAGTCGCTTTTCTCTGAAGCGTCATTTGGACGTCCCAGAGGAAAACGCGGGAAGGCACGCACTGTAGGTGCTGTTTGGATGCATTCCAAGTCAGAGAGGGCTATATAAACTACCCTCTGCCCACATTTCCTTGGGAAAGGCATTGCACACACAGATAATTTAAATTTGTGGAGCTCTTCGCTTACATTCTTTAGACATTCATTCATTACGGAATCTGAGAACATTAATTTTATTAAACCCAGCTCAAATCTTTGACACTATGCAACTCACAGTGAAATAGTACCCAGACAGAGCATTCTGTATCTGGAATTCTGAAATTCAAAATACTCCAAAATTCAAAATTGTTTACATGAGTGGCCTTTGCTTCCTGATGTGCTGATGCACACAAACTTTGTTTATGCGCAAAAGTATTTAAAATATTGCACAAGTTATGTTAAAGGCTTGGTGTTTTAAGATATATGACACATGAATATATATGCAAATCCAGGTATTCCAATAGCCAAAAAAAAAATCTGAAATCTAAAACACCTCTGATTCCAAGCATTTCAGAAAAAGGATACTCAACCTGTACATTTATCTTTTGCATAGGGAATTCCCATTTCACTATCAGGAATGCTTTGGAGAAATATGGGGGTGAGGGAACGGCATTGCGCTGCGCCCAAGTAACTTTGGAGGGTTATCCTCTGCCACACTCACCCTGAAAAAATATTTTTACAAAAGTAAATTGCCTCCAGTGGCCTTCACTAAGCTCTTTGGATGGGTAGGGGAAATTTTGCCTAATTTTCAAGAACTTCTGCACCATTTTAAGGCAATGAACTTTTGCAAAGACGTAGAAAAGTTGGCAGGGGTCAACACGTGGAGAAATGGCTCCCATGTCCCAGAAGACATTTTGGGGTAATAAATAGTTTAATATGGGGAGATCTTGGGGGGATTGGACACCTCAAAATGTCGGCAGGCCTCCCCTCTACACCCCCTATGTAGACTGCCAAACTAGCATCTTGTAAGTATGGGGTGGCATTGAGGTTCACAAAGTAAAATTATTTCATATTGTTTATGGAAGTGTAAATAATCACTGAATTATCCATTTGCTGTCTATATTATGTAAAGGATGATAAAGAATTGCTGAAAGTTGGAGAAGTTAATGTCCTATTGACATCAATGCAGAAAGAAATGGTTTCAAAAGAACAGTAGGATTCTTCCTCCACACTCTTAGTAAAATCCAGACCAATCTAATTCATTTTTTGATGATAAATTAGTGAGGGCCCTGTTTGTTTAAGTCCCCTGCTTAACTGGTTTCTGCTTTATGTTGTTGTTTTAGGAATATTCAGGAAAACATGAATCCAGAAGATGAGGTGGATGAGTTCCTGGGCCGAGCAATTGATGCCAGAAGCATTGATCGCTTACGTTCTGAACATGTCAGGAAGTTTCTCTTAACATTTAGGGAACTTGACTTGGAGAAGAAGGTAATGTTCTGATTAAAATGTGCCTATTCAGAGATCAGTTAGTTTAGAGGAAGAACTTGACATTTCAGCTGGACATGACTTTAAACCTGTGTTAATCCTATTTAAAATTCAATCTCTGAGAAAACATGTGGATAAAAATTCCCACCAACCCATTCCCACATCACATTTACACTGCCTTCTCTGAAATGGCATTTCTTTTCTCCTCATTCCTGATAGTGAAATGGGAATCCAGTTCAAAGCAGATATTGTGGATTATCTGCCTTGATATTCTGGGTTATATGGCTGTGTGGAAGGGCACTTAGTTTGGATCTACAATGCCATATAATGCAGTTTCAGAATACAGATTAACTGCATTGTACTGCATTATCTGAGTCTACACTGCCATACAATCCAGTTCAATGCAGTTAATATGCATTCTGAAACTACATTATATGGCAGTGTAGATCTAGCCGTAGAGCACAATGAATAGCAAAAGCCAGATCAGTTAAGAAATGCGTAAATGTCAGCTGTCCAAATGATTAGCCTGTCTTACTGGGACTAATGGAAATGGAAATCCAGCCATATCTGAAGGCTTTTGGTTGTTTACTCTAGTGAATAAGTGACTTCAGGTTTAGAATTCAATGTCTAACAAATGGCCTTTTTCCTTGCAGTACTCCAAACAGGTGGATGATCGATTTGGTGCATATGTGGCATGTGCCTCCCTAGTCTTCCTCTTCATCTGCTTCGTTCAAATCACAATTGTGCCACAGTGAGTTGACAGTTGTAAATTTCTTACATGATTCAGCTTCCCTTTATTGTATCTTCTCTGGTTTCACTATCCTAATGTAAAACAAATAATTTTTGTTAATGTTCTGTAAATGTCAGGCACACATTTTTATTGTTCTAATTTAGTATCCTGCTTTGTAAAACCTGGGATTTTGATTTCAGATTTTAGTATGGGAACAGAAAGTTATGTATGTTTAGTATGGGAAGATAGTTAGGATAACATGAATAGTCAGGGGAATGTGGTGGAGGCTCCTTCTTTCGAAGCTTTTAAACAGAGGATGGATGGCCATCTGTCAGGGGTGATTTGAATGCAATATTCCTGCTTCTTGGCAGGGGGTTGGACTGGATGGCCCATGAGGTCTCTTCCAACTCTTTGATTCTATGATTCTATGAATGTGATTATCATGGGGAATCATAATAAAAACAGCATGAACTGAACTATAACCGTAGTTACTCAAATTCAATACTTTCCATTTATTTATTTATTATAATTTTATTTCGATTTCTCAAGGTCTGGAATTGTTTCCACGGTTTCTTACCTCAGGATAAAATAGGCACTTGTTTTATAATTACGGTTCTGCTTTCAGGAAAATAAAATGGATAAATATATTGCTCTTCTTTTAAAGTTGTAAATCTACTCATAAAAGCAAACCTGCATCTAGAGCAGACATGGGTAAACTTCGGCCCTTCAGTAGGCTGTTAGGAATTGTGGGAGCTGGAGTCTAAAACACTTAGAGGGCCAAAGTTGTCCATGCCTGAACTAGAGGTAGGTGTGTATAAACATACAATTTTCCCACTAGATAATACATCACTAATTGTATTGTATAATTATTAGAATGTGTGTTTACCTGCATGCCTTAAAGTCACCTATTGAGTTATGGTAACCCCATGGATTTAGAGCAAGAAATACAAGAAAATCTGAAACTTTTGTCCTATCTGGAGGAGTTACCATTTTATTCAAGCCAGGGCCAGTCAGCATTGGCATTATATGGTATTTAACTGGAGGATCAAAATAATTCTGTTCATAGAGTGAACAATAAAAGCATATGGACTAATGTGTTTTACATATATAATGTTGCTTAATTTATTCATAATTTCAATAAAGGCATCACTTTAAAAGGATAATATGCTTTGTCTGTGGATTGTCGATCATCCCAGTGCCTTTTTGCTCACTTACTAGAATTTTTGAAAGCAAAAAGGGTATATTATATCTTACTAATCAGCTTGATAGGATATTAATTGAAATTAAAGTGCCCAAAAGTGGGTGAATCAACTTCAGAGTTGTAAAGAAATCGGTTTCACAATACATTTCCTGGAAGCTTTCTGCCCAGACCTATTGTTCTCAAGTAATACTATTCCCTTCCCTCAAAAAACCACAGAAGCCTTTTTGTGTGGTTATCCTCTCTAGACCTCAACTTCTGTTCATTTGGTATTCAGCACAATGAGAAGGGCAGAGTGGACTATAAAATCTAAATTCCACAGATTAAATGCTTTAATATGTGAAAACCAAACTGGAAGTTTTTTGTTTCAGATGTTCTCATCCTGCTTAAAAAGCCCTATTTAAACCGCTTTTCAAGTCCTTTCATAAGCAGTCATTAGGCCCTACACCTGGATCTAAATAAAGGCTTAAACAAGAATTGGGATCAGTTCCCAAAGTGGTTCATTCCATTTGTGGAAAGGTCAAAACCAGTGTGAAAGTCCTGCTGGTTGTATTTCTATTTGTGGACGGGCCTTTCCACTCTGTTCTGCCATGTCTCAAGAATAGTTTCTTTCTTTCCTTCTTTAATTAAAAATACAAACAGAAAAAGGAAGAAGCAAAATTATACAATCCATGTAACACCCAACAGGCAGAGTATTCAATTCAGTAGTAAATGTATTTTCATTTCAACAAGCAAGGCATAATGAAAAAAATTATTACGATAATAGAGCAATATTTTTTCTTCTAGAAGAGTCATTTTGGTATTTCTTTTAGTCAAATTAAGAAATAGAAGGAGACATTTCTTCTCTCTGTTGTTGTCTCCATTAGCTATCCTTAAGTGATGAGTCATTTTCCTTAAAAACCACCATGGACCAGAGACTATTTGCTCAAAACCTAAGAAAAATGTTTTTCCTATCCCTCCAGTATTTAGCAATTTCAGTTTGTGCCAGTGTAAGAAGCAATGGAATTAAATATGTGTGTAAACAAGAATGATTGTTTCCTCAGTTGTTGACAGAAAGTAAAGGATCTAACAGTAATGTAAGTCTGAGACATCAAACCAAAGGTGTCTAATCTATGAGCAGACAAACCACATGTGTATTGCCGTTTCCTTCAAAACTACATAAAACAAAACTTTAAGTATGCACCTACATTATAAAAAAAATTTAAAATTCTGATTCATACAATAGGTTTTATTAAATTTTGAAAAAAGGAAGTTATGCTGCCTCACCTTGTATATGTGTCCATTGGCTATAGCTGTTTTTCCCCCCTCAGGCTGCCCTGAGTCCCCTTCAGGGTTGAGAAGGGCGGCATATAAATGTGTTGCATAAATAAACAAACAGAAATCCTCTGCATATTGTTAGTTCTCAAGCCAGAATTGGTCAATAGACCATCACTTTTAGTAGCCTTGGTGTAGGAGATTCACTTCTGTCTCTTCATGCTTAAGTCAAGTATGGAATGAAGTATGGTAAAAACAATCAAATCCACATAAACACAAGAGATTCTTACAGAATGACAAAAACTTTAAAACACTGTACTGCAAAAGATTTCAAACTTATTTTGCCCAGAAAAGTGAAAGAAAAGAGAGGAAAAGCAAGGAAAGGTGGGCCAGTGCAAAAGGAAAGGGGATAACTCCCGGAAGAACCCATTCTTGAATCACAAGCTCAAAGCATTGGAAAATAGCTTCAAAAAGATTGAAAAACAGCATTTGAATCCTCAGGGGGGAAGGCTCTGTTCACTGATAGCCAAATTTAATAAATTGGAAAGTTCTGCTAATGACGTATAGAAACAGGGATCTCGATTGATTCTAATTTGCAGGAAAAACACGAGATATAACTACAGTACTGAAACGCAAACTGAGACCATTGACTTGGAAGAAAGAAGTAATGGGCAGAATGAATATTTCGCATGGTGCCAAAATTAGAAACAGGATAAATCTAATTAAAGTAGTAATGAACTGACTGTATGAAATATTTTCTAATCTTCAGTTTATACTCAACAATTTTGGCACCATGCGAAATCTTCATTCTGCCCATTATTTCTTTCTTCCAAGTCAATGGTCTCAGTTTGCATTTCAGTACTGTAGTTATATCTCGTGTTTTTCCTGCAAATTAGAATCAATCGAGATGGCAATTTTGAGAGAATGATTAAGACGTTTGGTCCTAAACAGGGAAAAATATGACATGGCAAGAGGTATAGTGCCAGATACCCCACGCCAAAGACAGGTTATGGTCAGCCTCCGTAAACCCCCCTCCTTATTGTTCAGAAGCACCACAGTGCTCCTTTTGCAAGGCATCTTCCATGACACCATGGCTAAATTAAAAGAGATTCATTCACTGACCTTACTTCTGATAATGGCAGGAATCAGATGCCATTGGGGTTACCCTTTTAAGATCTTAGTGTACCGTGGCAGTAAAAACAAGATAAGTTGGATGGAAGTGTGTCAGTGTGATAGAATATCCTGCTTCCACCCTTCATTCACCATATATTTTGCCTTTATTAGTTAAAACCCACGAACGCAAAACGTAGTTTCCAGGTGAAAGACACACCATCTTGAACAGAGCTTTCCAAACTATGTGTCATGACATGTTCGTGTATTGGCTGCAATGTGTAGCTGTTGCACCAATGTAATGAGAAACATCTCAGTCTCTGTGAAATAAGCAAAAAATCATATATTTTTAAAAATATGAATGAAAGGTTTTCATGAGATATGTTGTTTTCATGAGATATGCATTTTGTTATTACAATTTATGTATGTGTCCATAACTCGGCTTTGGGTCTCCATCTAACTTAGGAGCAAAGACAACAGAATAGGTTTTCTCACAACACTAATGGCAGTAAGGCATTATACCATCTTTGCACTAAAATACTATCCATAAATGCTAAATGTGCATGTTCAATAAATAAGAGCACATTCTACAAGTGGCAAATCCTTTGCATGCAGATATTGTTCTTTCTCAGGAGACCCATCTCCCAAGTTTAAAATGCCTTTCACATCCCAGATTTTTGGACTGTGCTAGCGAGTCCTCTAAGGCAAGTGGGGTTGTGATCTTGTTGCAAATCCATGCCCAGTCTAGGAGGATATTCATGCTGGCTCAGAGGACAGGTTTATGCTTTTTTAAGGATGCCTTGCAGCAAACTATAGACAGAAACAATCCATTAGAAAGCTATTAAACAAAAATTAATTATATTTGTGAAAGCGATCTTGTTATGATACTAATGCTGCCATAGACAGAAAGCTAAATAGCTCAGCGGGTACATTGATACACAGGAACGGGAAACAACAATAGGAAGAGATATTTTCATCCTGGAGGGTAATGGATATGGAAAAGCATAGGCAGCTGGATTGGGAAGATTTACATATTATTCAGGAATAATATAATGTAATTTTCTCTAGTGATCTGTAGCCTCAGATCACTTACCATTTTGGTAAATGTGTCCTAGTAAGAAAAGTGCCATATGCTACTGTATGGGATGCATGCAAGGCAAACATTAGAAGTATTTTAAAAAGTAAAAAATTAGGAAGCTAAAAATGTAAAAGGAAAAACACTATGAAGAAAACTGAAGATCTCATTTGCAGATATACCAAATTTAGAAATAAAACTACCACTGAATAAATTGAAAACTCCCTTGCTGCAACAGTTCCACTTGCTGCCAGTTTGTTTCCGGACACGTTCACAGTATAGTCTAGATCCACTCTGTTTGGAAGATCATATTTCTCTGTACAAATCCGACCATAAGCTGAGATCCTAAGGAGAGTCCCTTCTCTCAGTCCCAGCACCATTGCA